GGAAATAAAAATCGCAACGTAAATACGTGTAAGTGCGAGAGTCGGCCAACTTTCCCAGTTGCTGAAATTGGCAGTAAAATTATGACAAAGGCAAGACAAAGATGGCAGCAGGAAAAAAGGAAAGAAAGAAAAAACTGGCTGGGGGGGGAGAGAGAGCAGAAATGTAACAGCCTTTTTGGGGGGTGTGGAAAACCCATTAAAGTTCAAGTTGGACATTACATGGCCATATTCTGGGCAAATGTTTTGGAAAATAAATAATTCCCAGTTGCCATAAATGTGTTTTCGAGGGTTGTTGGAACGCAACGGACCTGGCCCGGCCGATAAAAAACAAATGAGATAACTTTGCCAAGCAACTCGAGCAGAATACACAAAATCGGCGAGGCGGCAAATGGCCGATATGAAAGTATTTTCTAATCATTCTTCGAGCGTAATCCAGCAATTAGGCAACCTGTCTCCGCGCCATTCAACTCAATTACAATAATCGGGCTTAAACTTATTTCAAAGCAGATTTCATGAGAAATCGATATAAGAACTGAAAGACAATTTGATTGTTCTGAATATTTATAATAAGCCTTTAATTTGTGTGAGTTTTCCAATAAGATTTTCACCCTAGCAGACAATGAAAATCGCTCGGAAATTGCCCGAAAATCTTTAGCAATTTGCAGGGGAAAGGGACTTATATACCAGTCTGGGAATTAACAAGCCCGGCAACAACTACACCAGCAATTGCGGCGCCATGTTGCATGGATATTTCCTCTACAACAGCAACAACGAACAAGCACAACAAGCAACATCAGCAATTGCAATTACCGAGTGTGTGTAAGGCACCATAATCATTTCAAACGGCAAATTATGGCAGCGAGGAGGGGCCCACAATAACAACAATCGCAGCAACAATTGCAATTGCAACTGCAACACAAGCGAACGGCAGGCAAATGAAATGAGCTTTTAATCAATTTCCGGTATTAAAGCCTAGCCAAACCGACCAACCAACCGGCCAAGCCAGCAGCCATCCGACCATTCATCCTATCATCCAACCATCCCATAGCTGTCTGCTTTGTTGCTGCTCCTGCTGCCCGTTATTGTTGTTGCATTTAATTAACAAACAATTTATATTCATAAACCTCAATCGGTCACATGCAAATGCACATGCGACTATGCCAGCTGAAATGGTGCGGAGAGAGAGCACGGGAAAAATATTAAGTGGGGGAATTGTTTCATCGAAAAGAGATGGAAGTGAAAAATATACTCTTTTTGGTGTATTTAAAATTGAAATATAGAATATAAATACTTTGTTTTTAGACCCAGCAAATCAAGGTTTTAAAACAGCCTTTAACATTTTTTAAAATTACAAAAGAGAACCTAGTCTAGTGTTACTATTTTCGTGGAGATCTCTTGTTTCATGTTATATAAAACTCTAATGTTTTCGTAAGCCATAAAGCATATTTCAAGCGACCCATTGGAAAGTGTGCTCAAATCATATTTCGCAACGTGAATGCAATAAATATGGCAAATGCGTGGCGAAAAATAAAAATAAAAAATCATGTGCATGAGTACAATTATAAAAAAATATATATACATGCAGTGTAGCTCATCTATGTATGCTTCTATTGTGCACAAGTGTAACTTGGCCTTTTGTGTAACGAAACGTGGCAGCGGAAAAGCGGAAAAGAGCATTCGCCACAAAATGCAACAAAAGCGTCCAGTGTGCAGCAACAATACGAAGCCTGATTGGGGGCGCCCCGTTTTCGGATTTCACATTTTACAATTCGGATTCGTTGCTGCCACGTGTTGCCAGCACAAACACACTCTAGGACACACGCGTCCGAGCTGCAGGAGCAGCGGATACTGGCCACAATTGGACAGGGGATGAGTGGATGCACAGAGGAAAAAATATCCATAAGAAAGCAGCAAATAAAACAAATATAACACTTTAAAACAATATTTTTAATATTATTATTTTTAAAACTAACTTCTTTTTATAATATTCGTAAACTTTAAAAACAATCTATAAATGATGGCAGTACCTTTCTCTCTGTGTACTCAGAATTAGCCCACGTCCTGACACCCAATTAACCCCTGGCATGCACAAAGGCAAAACGCACCGCAGCGCTCTGGGAGTGGTATCTAGCAGCTTAGCAAATCATTAATTAAACCTAGCCAAAAACAGAAACCAGACAAAGGCCCGAGAAATTATTATAATGAACACGCATGGGAAATGAACGCAAAAAGCTCTGTGGCTAAGGCCCGAGCCCCCTTTTCGCCATCCCCCGGACTAATTAGCATGCCGAAATGTGTGTTCAGTGCAGACACCACTCAGAGGTCACGGCGAGGTCCAAGCCTCATTTGGCGCGTAGAAATAGTATGGGACAGCAGGGGGGTGGTAAGGGAAAACACATAAGTTGCAGCCACAAGGGCCAAGAAACATTAAGGCAAAAGGTCAAAGAGGTGGGGGAAATAACTATTCAAGCCAAGAAAGGCTAAAGAAAATACTTATAGAGGCGATTGCTGTTAGGAGATTTGCGTTTTCTGCGGACATAACAAGAATTTTTACAAGGGATATAAGATGTTACATTAACGTTTATATAATACAATATTTTCCTATAAATATATGATAATCAATTCAAGAAATATAATTTGAATAAGCAAATTGAAATAATTTATATTAATAGCACAGATTCAAAACGAGAGAGATACAGACAAAGCTGTACTTTTCCCCAAGTAAATATTTATTCATAAATAAATTATTATTTATATTAGTATAAATTATTCTTTGATTCTAATATATTTTATTGATTTTACAGCCAAGAATTAAGTTCGATTTTTAAATATTTTGAAACCAATTTTCAAGCCTTTAAAATTGAATATCAGATATTTACATGTTTTGTAACAAAATATATATATTACTCGTTTGTAATGGGCACAGTTTCTTGACTGATATATATTGTATGTACATACAAGCTGCTATTTGTGTCAGTGGAAAATATAAATGATGATTATATACGTCCGGTAATGTGAAGTACTCACCGAGTGGAAAGCAGCCAACATTGTATGGCTGCAAATTGCACGAGAACAAATATAAATATGAGTACTTGTACATCGTGCTCTGCGGCGGATTCAGTCTAACCACAAACTCATTACGGCCCATTCTCTCCGGCACAGTGTGCCCCCCCTACCGCTCCACTCTTCCGCTTTAATGACAGACGAATATTTCGTATAATATAGACATTTTCTATGGCCCCGACTTGGCCAAGTTGAAGAACCGAAGAGGAGACAAAACCCAGCAAAGCTGAAAAGCGACCTGGCAGAAACCACAAAAACTTGCCTTTGGTTATTTTGTGTCTGGCATTGTCATTGCGGCTGATGTTGCTGCCGCGCCGTTTCTGCTGCTGTTGCCGATGTTGCTGATGTTGCTGCTGCTGTCACGGCTGTTGTGCTGGCCAAAACGTGCAATTAAATGCTGTATAGAAGCTGCCGATGCCATAAGCCGTGCTCTGAACACTGAAAGCCAAATCTCCACAGATGTATCAATATTTCATTGTGCAAAAATGCTTCTAAGATTGTATGATATTACAGAAATAAAAATAAAAACAATAGTGTACATACAATACATAATATATATAAATGTATATTATGTATTGTTTAATAACAAACTACTGTGGCTGCTAATATTCTCCTGTTCTTGCTCCTGAGGCTGCTTCTCCTGGATCTAGTTGGCTTTTGTATGTTGAGTTTTTCGCTGGCTTCACTTCAACGGACAAAGTGGTCTCCTGAACCTTCTGCAAGCCACGCTCAACCTGAATGATCTACCAAACCACGCCTATCTTGACCTTCGGAGGCAACAGGGCTGGCATCTCTGCGAACTCCAGATTGGGATTAGCTTGCACGCTAGCCAAAGGAATGTTTTACCAAAGTTCTAAATAATTTTTGTGCAGGCGAAAGATAACTAAATTAGATTCCCAAAAAGCATATTACACTGTATCGGCTTACCTGTAAATTATTCTTTTGAAGGTAGTCGATTTTCTTGACCTTCACCTTGCGGTCCTTCATGTCGCCTTTATGGCCACAGAGAACAATCGGTATGTTTTCGCAGACGTGAACGACATTGCGATGCCACGTTCCAGTAGGAGACGCACGTTGTAACATCAAATAAGATGATGGCGCACTGGTCCTGGATTCTCCTTCGCAATTCTCCTGGCCAGGGGTATCCCAGACGTTGAACCGGATGACATCGCGATTGGTGTGGAAGAGCTCCCCGCCCCCTGTGGCTACATAATAATTCCTCTCGAACTCGCCGGTCATGTGACGCTTGACGAATGTTGTCCTTCCGGTACGACCAGCACACATTTAAATGTGGGAATGTCCTGTTTTTCTTGAGCCATATCCTTCTGCTTATGACATACTTTAATGGTGCAACAACTGTGGTGAGGCTGGGACAATCAAATATGTTCTCATCTCGACAGAAATAAATTATAAACAAATATAATATTTTTTGTACAATTTTCAAAAATCACACAAAATGTTTATATACAAATTAAGAAATCAAATCTTAATAAAATAAAAAGAAATGTAATACTTTAAGTTGAATTTAGATCAAAGCATTTCAAACTGAATTAATATAGGCATCTTATTACACCGAATTTTAATCAAAAATTGTTTTCAATCAAAATCGATTTCGATTTCTCTCTGTGTACTGAGGTGGAAGCCAACTTATTGGCAGTGGCTTGCCAAATGCAATGAATGAAAATTGCACAAAAAAAAGAGCGGCAGAGGCCAGAACACAATTACGGCCAGCAGAGGCATTCACCAGGCAAATTATTGATTGGCAACCGCAGAGATGCATTCCTCCGCCAAGAGATACGAGGATGCAGAATCGCTCGGCCGCTCACTAATGATGATGACGATGACGCTGGCCACTGGCTACCGGCCACTCGCCGTTGGCCATCGAATGCTCACTCTCTTCTTGGCCGCCATTGACATTGAAATCTGGCAATTTGCAATCGCTGCAATTAGTTTTTATTTCTTTGCTGAGCCAAACGCCTCGCGAATCGTCGCGATCGGGCATTTCATACAAATTATTGCTAAGGATCCGGAGTACGGGGAATTTTCGCGGAAATCATCGGGTAATGACAAACGATGGCAGCTTGCATAAGTTGCGAAATGCTATTGCGAATTTCCAATTACGAGTGTCTCAGACCCTGAGAGCGCGAATTGCAATTGCAAATCGCTAATTGCCAGTCGATTATTTATAACCGTGCCTTTTCAAAGTTCAAATGTGCGTTTTGTCGGAAGTAAATTGCTCATTTAGCGTGTCTATAAATAGCGTCCCGCAATTCAGGCGACGCAATCGTCAAGTCGCAGTTGCGGGGCAAGGTGGCGTATACGTAATGTCTGATATGAGCTGCGGGCGAGGACAGACAGCAGCTCTGTCAAAAGGGGTTTCCGGCCAAAGGGGGCCCTCTGTGTGTGCATGTTTACAGCTTGTCATTCGGACGGCAAGTGGGTCACCATCACCATTGCTATGCTGTAGAAGCCTTGCTCCACAAAGCTCCCAGCGAACGTTCTGGCTTCCGCTAATCTCGGGCAAACTGCGGTAAAGCGAATGAATAAAGGGGCATATTGTGAATGGATGCGGCATAAGAAGCTGGCTATCTGCTTGTGGTTCATAGCCATGGCTGCACAGGGGATAAATGGGTCAAACTATAAATTGCAAAAACAAAAAAGACTAGAAAATATTTATTTACCCATTTTAATTCCAACAAAATAAGGATATCTAAAACAGTTCCTAGTGATCCAGAGATTTAACTTTATATTTTTGTAGTTTTTCTACTTTTTTAAAAAAGAAGTATACACAAACATTGCTTCTTTTTTCTTTGTGTGTAAAAGCGAGAGTAAATCTTAGGCTAAAATTATTTCCACACTCCGCGTGGCCTTTTCATTTTCCATTCCAGTTTATGCAAAGCCAAAAGCATTGATAAAGAACAGGTTTATGTTGATTGCTTGTCTTTGCTTTTTTTAAGTTTCTTTTTTTTTAATTTCTAAGCGGCTTTTGGAGTGTCTTTGGAGTGTTTGTGCGTAGGCAAGAGTCCCCGTTCGGGTGAAGTTCCATTCCCAATCCCTGTCACATTAATCACGGCAACATTTGCCATGCAATTAAGCAAATGAAGCCTGCATTTAAGTGCTGACAATGATGATGATGATGGGGACTTGGACTTGGACTCGGGCTGGGAATGGAAATGGCACTGGGACTGGGACTTGGCTGGGCGAGGGACTGGGACCGGGATACTCGGCGAAATCATTAAGCTAATGTGGTTAGTTGAACATCGATAAGTGAGTGTGCCCCATGGGCAGAGGCAGCTGGCGATGTGACTCCGCTTAATGCGCATTTAATACCCCTTTGAGTCATTAGAAATTCAATCGAGTCGGTCAAAATAATTGAGCGTCCTCCAAGCCCCTCCTCGGCTTGCCAAGCGATTTGGTTTCAATTCGCGACACTCGTCTCTGGCAATTCATCAAACCCGAATCACAATCGAAATGCAATTTACTGATTTTTGTGATGGCAAATTAAAAAGGCACACACAGTGGCACGTAAAAGACAATTGACGCAGACCGCAATTCAATCAGTCAACGTCGTCATGGCCTTTTTCCCTCTGTCTGTCTGTCCGTCTTATTGGCCAAATAGCCAAACGGCCGACATATCCCGGCTGGCAACGGCAAGGCGAGAATGTCAAAGGCGTAATTAAATTATAAAATTTATATTGTAACCAGTTGACGCTTTCTTTGCGCAACAACAAAGGTGCATTTCGGATTTTGAGCACAAATCGCTGAAATACGAGCGTGTTTGCTTGCGCGAATGCAATGAAACATTGCGCATTCGCCACGTTGCACGGCCAAACGAAATTGCATTGAAATGCAAACAAAATCGTATTGAAAGCAAACACATACATATGCTTTCTTTACCAACAACGAAAAGGGAATACTCTTGAATAAAAGAATTTACAAAATTATATTATAGAAATTGTTATATTATTTTTAAAAAGGAAAGGGAAAATACTTTTCAGAAATATATAATATTTTTTACAGACACAAAATATTCAAAAGGCTTAAAAATATCATTAATCAAAGCAGATATTTTAAGGAATTTAGCTAAATATATCATTACTGCTATCCTGCTATTATTATTTATATTTAAATGGTAGAAAGTATTATTTGTTAAGCTAAAAAATCAAAATGAATGCTTTTGTAAAGAGTATTTCTTGTACATTTTCCGAGGCAGCCGTCGTCGCTGTGTGTAATTTCTCGTGCTCACTTTTCCGGCACCCCCTTAACCCCCCTTAAAACCCCAAAAAACCCTCTAACCCCCTGTCCCCTCTCTGTTTTGGGTCGCCAATCACGTGTCGCAAACATGATTTATTTCGTCAATTTATGCCAAAAGTGTAAAACGATTTTCTACCGTGTGTCAAATGAAATATTATGACGTGCACTATCATTTACATGTGTTTTACGGCCAGTGACTGTGTGTATGTGTGCGTGAGGGGGCGTGAGTGGGCGTGGCATTGCGTTTATGAATGCGACTGTCGATTGAGACCGTCTCTTTCTACTACATCCATTCCTCTTGCTCTGTTTGCATGTGTTGGCATTTACAATTTAGCAAAAAGGGAAATTACATTTAAATTGAATTGTAAACCGAATACATTGAGGGGTTCCGGGGGGAAGTGAGAGGAGAGCGAGTGCCTCTCCGCATTTGAATTTTCCAGAAATTTACGATTACGATTGAATTGAAATTCAACTCTTTCTGCGGGCGGTTCTCTGTGTATAATTTAACATATATTTGAAAAGATATCAGCCGTTACACAAATTTCCCTGAATTTCCGAATTTTCCACATAAAAGAATATGACTAAGGGAATTGCAGTCAATTAGGTAGAGTTTTTATTATGCATTCTTAATAAATTTGTTACGCTTTCAGTTAAAGATATTTGCAGAATGCCATGAATAGGCCATTAATATTTATTATTAATGAAATCAGTAACAAAAGAATGCATTTTTAAATTTTACAACATGTAAAGAACAAAACGAGTATTTATTTATTTATATACTAAAAAACCTTTAACGACATTAAACATTAAAGCCCTTGGTTGATTTAATTCTGATTGCTGTTGTTGGCAGACAATGCTACATTTATATTTATCGTGGCCACATCAAGTTCAGCACACAATGTACATGTGGGAAATAAAATTAAAATTTTAATTTATTTAGCATATGGAATATTCAGCAGAAAACCGCCTGAAAACCAAACACAAAATTAAACCCGTATTTGAATTGCAACAGCGGTAATTGAGGGGGATGATGCGGTGAAAACCAACGGAAATAAAACATTTCTATTTAATCTCGTTGGGGCTGGGCTGGGCCTCTTTTAGGGATCTGGAAAATGCAAATACCAAGCGGATTGCACAACCGCAAAATGCCGACTAATTAAATTAATAGGAAACAAATGCATAATGAGGGCAGGGGAGCCCCAGTCCAATCAGTCTGTCTGCCAGTATCTCTATCTGTATCTGTATCTAAATCTGCAGAGTCAATTAATGTTGTCCGAACTGGTGGTGATTTAAGTGCAATTAAAGTGCAAATTCTCAAATATTTTTCTGCTGAGACGCCGCACCGCTCCAAAGCGATATGCAAATTAAGCAAATGCCAGCTAAGCTATCTATGGCCAAGTGCAGATACAGATACATATACGTACAACAGATACCGAATAGCAACTAGCAGATACCAGAAACCAGACTTCGCAGCAACCAGCTACTTTTATCGCATGTGCAATTTCTTGGCCCACGACGCCAACGACGACGATAAATGCAAATCTTGACAGTTTTCTTTGAAACATTTTTATTTATTTTCGGTTGCAGTTTTTCTGCCTGTGCTTTTCTTTTCGCCTCTTTGCCTGGCTTTAGTTTTCATTGTCTGCCGTCTGGCTTTCGTGTTGCTTTGGCTTTCGGCCATTGGGAAAGCACGTTTCGTGAGCGCACATCCGATGTAGTTGCATTTGCAGTTGCAGCACTGAAAGATACAAATGTATCTTACACACACTCACACAAGGGGCTGGCGGGGTTGTAACCCCCACGCTCCGTCCATGTGGCGGCAGCAGCCTTAGACCCCGGCAAGATTGTCGCAATTTCCACGGCAGCAGCACTCGCATCGACTTTGTCCTAATACTTTGAAAGCTCTCCCGACTTAAGCAGAAAATCTGCGCCCCAAGGAAGGCTAAACACTTGAGAGAATGTGCGTTTCACAACTGTAAGAAGCTTACATTAAGTGATGAAACATAATTAAATTAGGAATAATATTAAATTTTATGGGTTGTATGATTGGTTGACTTCTTTTGCTGGTTTTAATAGGAGAATTAGAATATTAAATTATATTTAAGAGCAATATATCACCAAAATTAGATGATTTGATCATAAATAATTCTATACTTCTTTGAAATAGCTGCAACAGTCTTTATTGAGCTCTCTGATCGCTTTGAATCAGCATCAGAAAGTATTTCCATTGAGAAGTTCCCCGCTGCGTGCGAACGAACGTGTAGCACTCATCTGAATTTTAAATGGGGACTTAAATAATACTCGGAATTAATCACCGCGGAATGTTTATTAATCCATCAGATCCATTTCACGGTGGATTACAGTTTCAGTTTTCCGGGCAGCGAAGTACAAAGGGCGGGGCAGGGCAAGTGGGTTTTTTTTTCATCGCCCGATGTTGTGCAATATTCAATCGCAATCTCAATATCGATTGCTACTTACCTTCTCATACATAATTCATTGGGGCCTGGGCGGGTCGTTTAATATGAAAACCAATTAATTAAACTCTCAACAGCGAGCGTCACGACTAAAAGCTTAGAAATTACTTAATAAATTACTTTCATTAAAGCCACAAAGGAAAAGTCAGCAGGCAAGGCGCCCATTTCCCCGTAAACGTGCCCGCTCCCCCCGCTGAACTTCCCTTGGACGACACTGTCGGGCGTTGATTTATATTAATCGACCCGCTTGCACAGCTCCAGGCATTATTTATTTGAGGCAGCAGAGAAAACAAAGCAGCGGCAAAAAATATGCCAAGTAATAAATTGAATGA